TTGATGCCTCAGGCAGGGTGGCATGGCCGTGGTCGGGACGCCATGTGCCCTTGTCCCACCTGGTCCGCAGGCCTTCGAGGACATCTACCTGGAGGAGCGGAAGACCATCAAGGTTCTGCTGGAATACGCCGACAAGATGTTCACCTACGTCTTCGTGCTGGAGATGCTGCTCAAGTGGGTGGCCTACGGCTTCAAGAAGTACTTCACCAACGCCTGGTGCTGGCTCGACTTCCTCATCGTGAACGTGAGTAGCTCAGGGGGCACACGCGGGGCGTAGGGGCCTCACCTCTGATGGACGGCTGCTGTTGCCCAAGAAAGCTCGGGGGCCTGGCCCTCAAGGGCGGCACCAAAGCCAAGTCTTGAGCACGGAGCGAAGGGTCCGAGCATAGCCCTATCACCTGCAACTGAAGGGTCCCAGGTTCGATTCCCATCAAGGGCAGGTACCTTGGTTGCAGGCACATCCCCAGGAGGGGGTGTGTAGGAGGCAGCTGGTCGATGTTTCTCTCTCATCGATGTTTCTAACTCTCTATCCCTCTCCCATCCTCTCTGTAAAGTGAAGACACTGGCAATGCCCTGGGGCGGGCAGAGTGCACGGAAGCTGGGGTCCCGGGGAGAGACCTAGGCCCTGCTGTCTGGGAGGATGAAGAGAAATGGGAGACCTGGGCCCTGCCGTAAGAACCCCTAATTTGGGGAGACAGAGGAGCAGGGAGGACCTAGGCCCGGTCCTCAGGAGCCCCCTGGCTTTGGGGGGAGGCTAGAGCTAGACTCACCATATGAATCGGTGAAGAGCATTGCAGGCCGGGGTGTGAGCCAGGGCAGGAGTGGGAGCTCACCCTCCCGGCATGGCTGTGCTGTGCAGGGGCCATGAGTATGTGAGAGTCTGTCAGGCCCGCTAGCCACGGGGCCAGGGTTGGTGCAGAGGTGCTGGCCAGGCAGGCAGGAGAGGGCCTCCTGGCTCAGGGAGATCGGACCACCTGGGGAGCAGGAGCTGGGGGGGAAGGGAAGTGGGGGAGGGGGAATCACCTGTGAGAAGGAGGAAAGCCATGAACGCTGACCCAGAGGTTCTGGGGGGCTGCCCCGGCCGATCAGGGGTTCTTGCCTGCCCACCTGTGTCCAGGGAGGGCCTGGAGCAGGAGGTTGCACCCAGTTGGCAGAGGAGTAGGAGGCGCCTACTCCACAGCTACCCAGGCCCAGGACACTGCTGGGTGCCACGCAGGGTGCGTGCAGGGTCCCACGGGGGAGGGGGTGGGGGGGTCCTGAGCACAGTCAGGCAGGAGAGTGGCCAGAGGCGGGCACTGAGCCGGGCGTGGAGCAGGTTGGGTCTGCGCTCCCTGGGGGCAGAGGAAGCCCGGCGAAGGCCAAGGGCTCGGGTGAGGGCTCCCCCTTGGGTTGTGGTGGGTCCTGCAGGCTGGGACACGCTCCCCAGAAGTGACCCACGGCTTCTGCGGTCGGCCTCGGGCCCTGCCCAGCAGCGGGGGCTGTCCTTCCTGTGGGTGCAGAAGAGGCTCCGGCCTGTGCTCCGTCCCACACCCTCTCAGAGGCCCCAGGAGGCCAGGGCCAGGCTGGGCGGAGGTCAGGCCTGGAGTGGCTGTGGCGGGAGAGGCTGCGTGGGTTCGAGTGCATGTGGAGATAAGACCGGGTCGTGGGGCCTGCAGTCCGGGCCTCTTTCTGTCACCCTGTCTGTGGCTGAGAGGGTGCTAGTGCTGGGGTGAAGGGGGGAGTCCGGGGGGAGAGAGGCGGGGGGGGGG